CGCAATTCCTGCCTCTTCGTGCCCCGCCGGGAGGGAGGCCCGGCTCCGCAGGCTCCGGCCCAGAGCACGAAACCGGGGCCGCCGCCACCCTCGGAGCACAAGGTCCAGCAGGAGCCCCCGAGAGCTTCCGCTAAGGAGCAGGAAGAGCCTGTTGCTTCCCTGCCGGCACGTCGGGATCCTTTGGTACCTGTGACTTACATCGATGACATTGTGGAGCTGGACAGCGGGGAGCTTTCCCCCAAGGGTGGCTCGGCTGTGAGGACGGGGACTTTGGTAGACCAGCCTCGAGAAGCTGTCTCTGACCTGGAGATGGAGTTTTCCGCTGTGCCCCTCTACAAACCCCACTCTGTCTCCCCTGCCAGCCATCAGCGAGGAGGCAACACGTTCACTGTAGTGCCCAAAAGGAAGACCGTCGTCTCGGGCTTGCAGACTTTGACTGATGCCAGCGGACGGCTGCAGCGGGAGGAAGACGAAGAGGAGGAGGAAAACAAAGGAAAGAACAAAGCTGTGGAGAACGCTGATGTGTCCCAAGCGGGGGTGGCTCTTAAAAAGCGCTACCCCACTGTGAATGAGATTGAAGTGATTGGTGGCTACCTGTCCCTGGAGAGGTCGTGCATGAGCAAAACAGGCCGCCGTAAGAAGGTAACTACCTGGGGTGCCTCTCTTTCTGAACGGTGATGCTAAAAGGAGCTTCTTATTTCGCTTGGCTTGTTCTGTGCGCTTTGTGATTGTAACTTCATCAGCCCCTCTGTGGGCATCTGGGTGGGAAGATGGGTGGCACTGTTTGATGCCTCCGGCCCGTTTTAGAGCCGGGGGGTGCCTTCGAGAGGGAACAGATTGCATCCCAATTCCGTTAAACGTATCAGAATGGGATATGACCTGTGATAACTACAGCGCCTCTCTTACGATGCCTTCTTGGTTCCTTTCAAGTAGGAGATGTGATAACAGAAAGGAAAATTTTTGTGGAGTTAGCAAGTGAGACAGGTCGCATGGTTTGGCTGCAAACTTTCTTTCTCTCCGGTCCTGCTCACTCTGTCTAATGAGCGTTAGATGAGTCGGACTCCCTGTGCTCACCGCCTGGCTTGTCCCAGGGTACAGTGGGCAATGTGACGTTGCCACCTTCGCTGGATTAGTGATCTATTGATAGAGGCTCGAGAACTAGGTCTCTATTAGGCGGAAAAAGATAAGCAACAACTTATCTCCTCTTGATATGATTACACCACCTGTCAGTTCATTATGGTGTGCAATTGCTGCTTGTCCCTGAAGAAGTGTGAGGTATCTATTGCTCCAAGCATCTTTGGAGCAAATGCCAGATTTTCTCACCGCTTGGGATCTAACTTTGACTCTCCTGAACCTTAAATTGAGAATTAATCATTGTATGGCTTCAGGAAACGCAGCTGGATGTGATAAAGACATAGTCATATTGAAAAAGTGGATTATTTTGCTGAGCCAAAGAAGTAGGTGTGAATTGCTCTGCTACCGAAGCAGAACACTGTGGTGACAAGCAGCATAGGGATTATGTCGTTACAAATCCCGATTTCTAGGTTTGAGACGTGACATGTTTTCCCAAAGCAGGAAGAGACATTTGACGTTCCGTTACCTAACCTCAATTAAATATTTGACGGACTGAATCCACATGGCCACAGTGCCTGAAGCACTAAGCGTTATAGTTTGAGGAAATCCTTTGAATAGAGTGCATCTCAGTTAGAAGGGAGGTAGCGAGTGCTGTTCCTCACGGCATACTGTTGTTATATTCTTTTATAAGAGCGCACAGTCTGTATCTATTTGATCGTGACGAATGCAGGGGGCAGATTTGAAGCATGAGAGCCCTGTACCAGAAAAAGCAAATAAGCATGAGCGTTGGTTCTCGCCTAGTGTTACTGCAGTTCTTCCTTGTCCTGCTGCAGGGAAGTGTGCTTGGTCAGACTGGAATCATGGTGTGTCTTAAAAACTTTCTGACTTGCGTAGATTCCAGCAGTTTTCTTGGCTCTGCTCTGTTCAGTTTGGGGTAGAAATCAGATCAATACCAAATCGGGTATGATGCGCATGGTGTAAATGGTGAAAACATCCAGAAGACATGTTATAGTTACAGGTGGTCTTAGGATGGAGCAGAAAGCATAGAGGAGACATTGAGGGACAAACTTCTCTAGGTAAGCCCAGCTTCTGATGCAGCCAAAGGAGCTAATTTTTCTGTGCAGCGCAGCCTTGCTTGTAAGAAAACAAAGCCTCAAGTAAGCAAAAGTAATTAAATGTAGTGCAGTGGAAGCTGTCCTTAAACAGTACAAAAAGGAAGGAGAGAGATGGGCACAAGGCTAGTGCAGCAGCTGAACTTTATAAGGGTGGTCAAACACTGGAACAGGGACCCAGAGAAGTGGTGGCGTCTCCATCCTTGGAGCTATTTGAAGCTTGCCTGAGCAGAGCCCTGAGCAGTCTGATCTAGTTGGACCCGCCTGGAGCAGGAATTTGGACTAGAGACCTCCCGAGGTCCTTTCCCAACCTAGAATAATATATGGCTCTACAAATTTTTTTGACAGCTATTTTGCCTGCTCTGTGTTGGACTTGGATGACATTGGGCAGGTCATGTAGCTTCTCTGCCTCTGTTCTTATCAGCATAATAGCATTAACTGTCCTACTCTGCAGACACTTTGAAGATGAAGCATGCTAAGCATTGTGAGACCCTTGTACAACAGTAATGGGTTTTGCTGAGAATTATATGTCGGGGAAGATGTCTTACATGAGAACTCCCATAAAGAACTAGTTTCTAAAGAGAGAGAAATTAAAAGGCAAGGAGGAACTACTGTTACATTGCAGAGTTCAACAGGTTGAAATGAATGGGGACCCTTCAGAAAATAAGATCCAGCCTAAAGTGTATTAGTGAAGCCGCATATGTTTCCCTATAAATTTAATGTGGTGTTGTAGTGGGGGAAAAATAATAGGTTTTGTTCCAATTCCCTTTGCTGAGCTAGAGGTGGCAAGCATAGAGTGCCATTTGACTTTGTAAGCAGAATTTAGAAGATGGTGTAGCAAATAGAAAGATTTCTGTTTACTCTGAACCTAGAGGATGTTTGTGGCTTTTACTCTGTATAATAAGGCTGAGTGTTGATGCCTGAAAAGGAAGGAGCTAGTATTAGAACACATTCCTTGGTTCCTACCCAAGAGATCTCTGTGTGTCGTCAAGGAAACCAGCCAAAAACAAGGGTTTTGTTTTGTAGATAAGTCGGGGTTTTCAGAAACTTGGTTTTGGCATGAATTGCACAGAAGCAAACCCTTCCTGTGAACTGCAAGCTCTAGCTGCTCGGCAAAACCAATGCCCATTTCACTTTGGGAGTTACAGAATCACAGAATCGTTTAGGTTGGAAGGGACCTCTGGAGATCATCTAGTCCAACCTCCCTGCGCAAGCAGGGTCACCTGGAGCATATTGCCCAGGATCACATCCAGACGGCTTTTGAATATCTCCAGCGAAGGAGACTCCACCACCTCTCTGGGCAACCTGTTCCAATGCTCTGTCACCCTCACAGTGAAGAAGTTTTTTCTCAGGTTCAGATGGAACTTCCTGTGGTTCAGTTTCTGCCCATTGCCTCTTGTCCTGTTACCAATATCAAAAATTGATACTGGTTTCAGTGAACAATTACTGGGATTTTTGGGGGTCCCTTCTCTCCAGGCAGACCTGCCAGATGAGCCTGCATGTGGCCAGAGCATGTTTATTCCTGAACCTCGCCTTGGATTTGCTGAAAGATCTTTAAGTATGCTTCAGGCTCAAGAAAGCAGTGTTTAGTAAGACTTTGATTACTTGGAAAACTTCATCCACTAGCTGGTGCCCATCAGGAAGCTGGGCTAGATAAACAACAGATCTAATGCAGCCTGGTAATTCCATATTCCTATGGATAGACAGGTATCTGCGCTTAAAGATGAGGTTAAAGATATACTAGTACAGAATAAAGGTAGTTGTGGCGTTTAGACTGATTGTTGTGTGACACATTTTATTTTTCTTCAAATGCCAAAGTCAGCCTCCTGTTTTGCTGTCCCATTGTCTGGCTGCTCATTGCTGACTATGGTAGAGATGCTAGCCAGCTGGAGCTGCGTTAGTCCACATCCTCTATGGCTTTTTGGTGGTGGGAGGATGGCTGGGACTGGCCAGGAGTAAGTTCTATTGTAGTTCTGGTTTCTGTGGAAGGAGCTCCAGCCTCCTGGTCTCAGATCTGGAAGCATGGCGATTGGTGGGGACGTTGCAGCAGAACCAACTTACATCAGTGGCTTCGCTGCTGTGGCCTGAGGGATGCTGGTTTCTTGCTGCTAGTCTTCAAGGCCTTTCAGGAAAAACAGCTTTATCACTCCTTCCAGACACTTCAAATGTGTGAAAGAGCTGTTTGCTTTGCGGTTGGACCTGCCATCCCCAGGTAGATACTGAGCTGATGAGGGAGGGAGAGGAACCCATGGAAGGCTGAAGCTGTTTCTGTGTTAGAATGAAAAATGGTTTCTCAGGTCTTTTGTTTAAGCGATGAGAGCTGCTGCGGTGGGACAGTTGTTCACTGAGGGCTATGAAGATGAACATGGGGTTGTGTACAATGGTCTGTGGCCAAGATCTGCAGGTGGAAGGCAGAGCCCCCAGCTGTGCTTGTAACAGAGGCCAGGCTGCCTGTACGGGCAGGGAGTTTGATCTGTTGGGCTCCCGTAGTGCTGTTACGAGGCCCTTTGTGACTGTTCATCTACTCTGTAGCTGTTCTAAGAGACCTCTCCAAAGCGTATCACAGTGAGTGCGTTTCAAGCCGGGGGTGGGAGGTGTCTTCAGTTTGGAAACTAAGTGAGCATTTGCAGCTTTGTACAGATATGTTTGAAGCTGAGCATTGGGCAGCTGCTGAAAAAGGCTGGCTGAGCTGTCTCAGCTCTTTCAGTGAGGACAGGATATGTGTGCAGGGGCGGAAGGAGACCTGCTGACCCTTATTCTAAATTGGGGATGCAGAGAGGACGCAGAACGCTGTTGACGACCTCTGTTCAGTGCTCATCTTGGTACTCTGTTATTACCAAAGAAGTAAAGGGACTTCAGTCCGGTAGCAGCCCCTGGGGAGCACAGCAGCCTCAGGAGGGAGAGGAGGCTTTGCTGCAGGATGTGGATCCTTTGCATCTCGTAGGATAAAATCCAGCTTGATTGAACTGACAAGAGCCAATCTTAAAGTTTGGTTACCAGCCAAAATAACATACATAAGGTTGTCAGCACAATAGAGGTCTTGGTTTCTGTAAAACCTGTGACTGGCATGTTGGAGTGAGTGATTGGAAAGGGATGCAAACTGTTGAGCCAGGTGGGGCCCTGGGAAGTTGTTGCCTGTCTTCACGCTTCGTATTTTCAACTTGCGGGGAGGCAGGCTTTAGGTTGGACCCTGTTGTGAAGGTCCTGTGTGTATGGAGTCTGCCAAGACCATGCTCCTTCTGTACATCTTGTCACTCCTGAAATTCATCCTGAATTGCAGTACGTTTGCCCTCTCCAGCAACCAGCTGAATCCCGTCTCTCTGGGATCTTGCAGGAAAGGTGACTTCCAGGCAGGCCACTCAACGTCCTGGAAATAACAGGACCTGGGACCCAAGGGAGAGCCAACAGACATCAGACTATGGGCGACCTTTAATAATTTGTGCTTGTCGCAGTTGG